TCGAGATAATTTTTTAGGCATGCGCTCAGCTTAATCATCTCACACGAACGAATTCCACTCATAACAAAATTTAGTATAAATTAAAATAGTGGATGGTGTTAAAGCACGTTCTGATTGGCCGCTCAAACTTCGAACATCCTTTGCTATTCACTGCCGAGCAACTCGCGCGGGATTGCACTAGAAATTATTTTAATTGCTGCAGGAGTAAGCGAGTTGAAATCATCTTTTTGGGCTATATTATCTCACAGTTTTAGTATATGTTAAAAACAACTATTCCCTCAATGTCAGTGGCTAGCGGTGGATATTTACCTCGCCTCATCGCAGTTCGGTAAATATTCACCACTATCCACTTCCACTTCGATAAATAGTTGTTAAATAGTAACCTGTTCTCATGCATAACACGCACATTCGCCTTCCGTTCCCATTGACATTTGCAAAGATTTTTCTTGAAGTGTTCATCATTTCCCTTCACAGTCCGAGTTAATGGGTTTCTACAGTGTCGTTACCAAATCTTTTGTGTTTGAATCGAGTTACTTCCACATTTTATCTTAACACCCTCTTTTGGCTTGAATAAAAGAAAAGCACTGCCTTCTTTTATGCATCAGTTAATAACTGAAATAAATGACAAACGTTCTTCAATCTGATTGGCTGGGAGATATGCAGTTTTCTGGTAACATAATGCAAAAGAGAGGTACTTCTTTGCAGAAAATTGCTCATTCGCTGCAAAAAAGGCAACAATTTTAAGCCGTATTTTGGACCTATCTACAGCTCAAAAGCCTGATTTCCTATAAGAAACACAAGCTAATCAGTTAACTATCCGATCTGTTATTCTACAAGCAGTCCTACCATTATAGCTCCACCAAACGGTTGTGTAGTTAAGTTTTTTTCGTTCTTGTTTTAGTTTTGATTGAGTTCGTTTGTCTTTTTGTATAGCCTAAAAAAAAAGTTAAAAAGCATACCAATTTAAATCCATAGAGTATTTTCGTATTATCAACCATAAAGAGTTTCAAAGCTGATGTTTCGAGCGTTAGCCTTCGTTAGAGCGATGTACGAAGGGCTAACGCTCGAAACGTCAGATTTTGAACACTTTACGGTGGCCAATTCACGTTATCAGCTCGGTCGATAATACTTAATTACCCCTGTCCACCGACGCAGCACCACAGTTTTTTAGAAACTTACCCCCTCTATTCAATATAAATCTATGTTTACCACGTCTAAACTTCAAAACAATAAAGAGAAAATGTTCCGTTCCGTTTATAAAGTATTTCTCTTTCATCTATGTTCACAAAAAAAATCGTATCACGGTGAACCTGATTATCTCTCTCTTTTTCACCTTATGCATATTGTCTCGTAGCTCAAAACAGCCGATGTGAAATCGCCCTATGTACAGCATTTCGTACAACATGCTGAGATCAATTATCTTGTGCGCTCTGGTGACCGCATCAACTCTTGCGTGTACCATTATAAGCATGCGGAATGTCAATGCGCGCAGAGGACATCCAAATTGACTATCTTCACAATTTAAGGCTTTGACAAAACACATCGTGACAACTGCTATTTTTTAATTGTTTCAGGGAGTAGGAAAATTCCAACTACAAGTACCTCTCTCTAAATTACCCTAACGATTCAAATTTCAGCTATCTTTTCTAACATTTTACTGATTCAGTACCAAATTGTTGGTAAAAGCTATCGTCATCTATAATTGCATTTTATCAGTAACGACTCCTCTATAACATCAAAATAAAATAATACTGATCGTGTCTGAAGACTTACTAACTACCTTACCGAACAAGTTATTTCGGAGAAAATATCTGTACGCTTTATATCTAAATGAACACAACCAATAGTAACAAAAATTGTCTCACGTTGGCTTTTCAAGTTCATCGATTATTTCCTCCATACACGGTCTCGCCTCAGGCTCTGTTTGTAAGCATCTCCGGATGAGATTTCGAATCACGCGGTTTTTTACAAGTGCAACTTGCTGTTCACGCTTTTCAGGATCTGGCATTTCCTGGATCGACATCTCACAAAGAAGAACACCAAAACTGTATACATCAACCTGAATATCGAAAACAAATTACAGGAAATTCAATGATAATAACCACAATAGCGGCAATCAACTCGGTGGTAATGATAATGTCGATGATGATGTGATAATGACCGCAACCTCGCGTTAAGTGAATAAAATTTGAGGATACACACCATTGACAAAGGGTCATTGTGGAGAAAAAAACAAATATTAAATCAAACATACCTTAACGGTTTGGTTTTTAGTGACTGCTTCAGGTGCACTGTAAATTGGCGCTCCAGGTGCAACTGTCATGGTATGTTGCATGAAATTGGCTGTGCCATAATCTGAAACCTTGGCTCGCCATTGGTCACCTT